CGTGTAGACCTCAAAGCGTTAGTCTCCGCTGGAGTTCACCGATCGGCTCTGTAATGGCGGATCCTTTATGCCTAACTCGGTAATACACGATCATTAGCGTCGTTACTGGCCTCGAAGATGAAAAGGGTTTATCCATGGTCGCTTCCGCTGCTGATTTTGTTGTTCTCTGGGACATTTCCTGTTCCGATCGCACTTGGGTCGGGAGATGCTGAGGAATTCAGCGAGGAGTTGCTGTTGAAGCCTTTGCCTGATCGCAAAGTGTTAGCTCACTTCCATTTCGAGAGTCGAGCCCCTCCGTCAAACTCCCATGGCCGTCATCACCATCTCTTCCCGAAAGCTATTTCTCAGCTGGTAAGGCCTGTTTGTTTCCCGAGAAAGTGTCTTGGGCTTGGAAAAAGTAGGGAGGAAGTGTCTTGTTCGTTTCTCTGGATGTGGATATTTCAGCTACAGATCAATTGGATTGTCTCTGTTTTGCTTTGTTATTGCTGGATCCTTCGCATTACTAGATTTGAATCTTGAGCAAGCTTTATACACTTCACAGCCCTTGTTAATAATCCGTTAATTTTTCGACTATGGGATTAGCTCTATTGTCGGCTTGGAGTCTCCGGAATGAACATGTTATGTTTGGTATTTTGAATATTTCATTTTCTGTGTCCACTGAAATCTTGATTCTAAAACAGGTTCAGAAATTTCGGGTCAAAGAGATGGAACTATCTTTCAGTCAGGGTCGATGGAACTATGAACAATGGGGCGGATTTGACCCGTTGTCAAGCATGAATGCAAAGCCAGTCGGGGTCGAGCTGTGGGCTGTTTTTGATGCTCCTCAGTCTCAGATTGATGCTTCCTGGAAGAACTTGACTCATGCACTTTCGGGCCTTTTCTGTGCTTCAATCAATTTTCTAGAATCGTCCACTTCATATGCAGCCCCGACATGGGGGTTTGGACCGAAATCAGACAAGCTGAGGTATGGATCGCTGCCACGTGAAGCTGTTTGTACCGAGAACTTGACGCCGTGGTTGAAGTTACTTCCATGTAGAGACAAGGATGGAATTTCTGCGTTAATGAATAGGCCATCTATATACAGAGGATTTTATCATTCTCAGAGATTGCATTTGTCCACAGTTGAATCTGGACAAGAGGGATTGGATTCTGGCATCATTCTTGAGCAGACACTTACTGTTGTTCTTCGCCCTGATAGTGGGTCTGGTGAAACAAATGTACAGCCTAGCTGGTCCCTGAGCTCTCTTTTTGGAAGAAAAATTGTTGGAAAATGTGTTCTTGCAAAGTCAAGTAACTTGTATCTTCAGTTGGAAGGTCTTCCAGTTCATAAACTGAGGACAGCAGATCAAGAACAAGACACAAATGGAATCTGGAAGAATGCTGGTTTCGAATTGTCTGTTGGGCCAGACAGGGTTCTTCAGGAGACCACCGGCTATCTATTTGTGTTTGACATTGACAAATACACTGACAGCAAGCCATTTGATCTCGGCCTTACTTGGAAGCGTCCATCCAAATGGTCTAGTGGACAAGCTCCATTACATGCTAGTCGTTTCTTGATGGGAAGCGGGAACGAAAGGGGTGCAATAGCAATCTCATTAAAATCGACAGAAACATGTGAGAAGTTGTCGGGTAGAGATCCCAGTCAGGGCTCATGTACACTACGGGCTGACATTTTCCAAGTATTCCCATGGTATATTAAGGTTTACTACCATACTCTGCAAGTTTTCGTGGACCAAGAACGGAGGACAGTCAGTGAGGTCATAAAGAATATCACGGTTTCACCTTCTACAGATAAGCTGTCACCTGGAGTGATGGAGATGATGCTGGAACTACCATGTGGGGTGAAATCTGCCGCGTTGTCGCTGGAATTTGATAAGGTAATCTCATGTTTTCAAACTATTCATCTACTTGAAGATATCTAATAGCAGTGTTTCGAATTTTTTGATCTTTGTTCTGCAAAAATACCCTTTACTGATTTACGTTACCTAAATTTTGCGAAATAGGGTTTCCTGCACATTGACGAATATCCTCCTGATGCTAACCAAGGATTCGACATTCCATCGGCTTTGATAAGCTTTCCGGACCATCATGCCCAATTAGTTTTCCCCGAAGAATCGACCAACTCGCCCTTGCTATCGAAATTTAAGGTAGATACACTTCTATCGCTATTGAAATACTTGAGCTTCCTGCCCGTGGTTGAGCTTTTGTTTGCTTTAAAGAAACTCAATCGTTCTCTGGGTTTGATACAGGAAAGATCCCCAGTCCGTTCTTACACGGAAGTCTTGCTCGTGCCATTGACAACTCCTGATTTCAGCATGCCTTACAATGTAATCACGATCACATGCACCGTCTTTGCATTGTACTTCGGATCATTGCTCAACGTTCTTCGCAGACGAGTCGGGGAAGAAGAGAGGCTACTCAAAAGCAAAGGTAATTCCATCATCTCTGGCTCATAGTTTGGCTTCAAGAACAGTATTGGAGCTCAGCTCATAACGCATAACTTCGATTCTAACCCCATTTTCATGATTGTCTTGTTTTTTTTTTTTTCCAGCAGACAAAAAATCGGGTAAGCTTGCGCAGCTATTGACAAGAATTGCAGCCAAGATTAGAGGAAGACCGGTGGAACCATCGCCATCGGAGCCACTCGAAGCTTCATCATCGGTATTGTCATCTAAATTTCTCTTAAAGATCATATTAGTTGCCGGAATTGCTGCGGCATGGCAGTATTTTTCCACTGATAAGTAGGTTTGGAGAGAGATGATATTTGCCTTGAGCAGTGATGCAGGGCCCCCGAGGATTTGTACAATTGTCTGAAATCTTTTTCCTTTTTTGTTCCAACGGTTGTGAATGAAACCTCTGACCGAGATGGAGGTTTTGCCGAGTTTACACAGAAGAGTCTCTCCGACATGGACGGAGAGCGGAAGGTTTGACTGAGGTTACAGTGTTGTAGGCTTTGATTGGTCTCTTAGTTGAAATGGGCCTTTGGGCCCATATTTATGTTGGTTATGTTATCCAAATTGCTTTACTTTACCATCGAGGGCCCATATGTAAATAATTTATTTTTGAATTAAGGTAAACCAAATTGTGTGATAAACGTGGCCGCATGAATCGGAATTTGGGAAGAAGATAACCACTAAAGAATTAATTCAATACATACATGCATGTAACCACATTAACGTTAATTTAATGTCGATGTATGTTTGGTCATCTGGCTGTTGCTAATTATAATTTTCGTAACGTGATGATCACAGACAGTTAGGGTTGGAGTGATGTAGTTTAATGTTTATATATTTAAACTAATAGAAAATTTTCAAATAAATGTATGAATTTATTTCAAATCATTATCCATAAATATATAAATTTTGTACCTCTCAAACAATACATCAATTTACATTTTTCTCTCAAAAGAGTCTATTAGATATGATAAATAACATACAAATTTTTTTTTCTTTTTGCAAAACACTATAGTGTTCGTAGGTGTTGGTTGCTATACCATGTAAACTAGACATTTTTTCCCCTCAATCAAATAGGAACATAAATACTTTTATATATATATATATATAATCACTTCATAAATCCACCGAAACTGTGATGTATAGGGAGAGACGCCAACGTCAAAGTGGAATCGGAGCCGGCGACTCACGTAACTCTGAAAGTGAGTGGTCAGGTAACTTGTAAGCTAGTGAAACTCGAATTCTTAATCGTGTAGAAACCTTCTTAACAGATTCACAACGACATTGGAACCCTCTCGTTTAAGAAATATAAGCACGACACGAGCAATTTCACCTCCGATGATTTCGTGTTGTTCGTCAATATAGGATGGGACGGAGGTGTTCATGAGGATGAGGAGGACCGGCCAGCTTCGGACCATGATGCGGGCTTACTGCGACAGACGTGGAGAATACATGATCGGATATGTCTTCCTGTTTGATGGCCTCAGGATCCGACCCAGCCAGACCCCTGACGAGGTATCCATCTGTCTCAAGATTCTCTTTCTTGGTTTTGATTATAATAATCTTTTTTTGCGTTAAATTAAATATCGGTTGGCAGCTTGAGCTCGAGGACGGAGATGAAATCGACGCGTTTCTGCACCAATTAAGCGGCTTTGCACCGCTGTGAAAACGCCCAACGTATGAGGAAAAATTGACCGAAAGCCAAGAGTTGTTGGCTCAACTGGTAAGTGGATATGCGCAGTGCTCCATCCAGATTCGAATCCCACCCTTGACAAATCACATATTAAAAAAAAAAAATTGACCGAAACGAGTAGTGATTTATGGAATGGATTAATGTACGTTGAGTGGTAAGAATAGAGTTTTGAATCTTGGTAATAATATGCATGCATATAATCTCAGTATATTGTCAAACGTTACGTTACGTGCATGGTGTTTGCATCTGAGTTATGTGTACCAACTTGTGTTTTTTTTTTTTTATCGTTTCTGAGAAGCGCTGGTCAAAGAGAAATTCAAGGGCCGATAAGAAAAAATTTGTAATTCGATTTCTATTATGGGCCAACATAAAACTAAATGACATGTTACACTACACAATTACTCCCATCTTTTATATAAATTTATCAGACTTAGATAGGGGTGAATGTTTCAATATTCGTTTCGAATTCGTTTCGGAAATGATCCAGTTCGATTTTTTCAATTTTATAAAAATATATACCAACCAGTTAATATTTTATGTTCGGTTTGGTTTGATTTTGTTTTTTATTAAAAAAAAAAATTTCGGTTCGGTTCGTTTTGGTTTTTAAAAATTCGATTTTCTAAAAAAATACCATTGGAAAATTTTGGATAATTCAATTTAAAAAAATGCCGTATTTTTTGGCCGAAACGCTCACCCTTAAATTTAGAAGTTAGAACTACAGAGGACCTAACGGATCAAAACGAAACAAACGAATGTTGTGTCCACTCGTTGCGTATGGTGTGGGCCTAGTTTTGGGCTGGGCCCAGTAAACTTTTACCCGACCCGGTTTTTGATTGATAAGAGGAGCCCGACGAGTTTTTTTAAAAAAAAAATAGCAAATCCTTTTGTACTTCTTCGCGAAGCAGAAATCTATCGATCTGGAATCGGTAGAGAATAAACTAATTTTTGCATTCGTTTCCTTGAATCAAAGGATCGTTTTGTTTACCTCTCTCGTTTGTTTCTGGATAGAGATTTAGGGTTTCTGGGTACTTTTGTCGTACCCCTCTTTCGAAATTTGGTTGCTGCTTCAGACCCAGAGGTCTCTTCTTCCGATTTGTTCCCTCCCTGTTTTAGGGCTTTTTGGTTTGCATTTTGGGTTCGTGTGATCGAGGTTTAGGGTAGGGTTCTAATCGTTGTTTGTCCACCGGAGAGAGGTAAAAGATGTATGCTGATCGATTGGAGGCTGATGGTGCGAGCAGGAAGACGGTAAAGGACCGTCTCAATGGCGGTTCCGGCGACTTATCTATTCGCCGGCGACAAGTCACCGGCAAGAGGTTTGGCTTATCTCCTTTTTCCCTTCATATTCTGTCCCAGTTGGAAATTTTACTTGCTATCTTCGAGGACTCGGAGCCCTTTTTCCTTGCATTTCGGTAGCTACGCGGTAGTGTATAGCGATATGGACTCTAAGATATAGACCGTTCGTTGTTCATAAAGACACAAACCTAAGGTTTGTTCAGTAAGCTGCTTGATTCAGCTTTCCTATGCAAATGATCATTGCATTAGCTGTATTAAGTTGTCGAATATCTTGGAAGTATAGAATAGTGTTCATGAAATTCTTACTTGTGTTGATTCTGTAGGCTTGAATCTTGATGTTAGAAACCATTGTTTCTCTCTTTTGGCAGCGTGGTTATGATCTTCTCCTTTTGTAAGCTTAGTCTGTTGATCACATCTCTATCAGTTTCGCTTTCCATTTGGGTTGTCCTAGCATGGCAATAGAAACAAATTTTCATTAATTGTTCCCTAATGCTTTCAGACAAAGGCAGGATGACAAGTGGGAGCATGATCTTTTTGAGGAAGATGAACCTCGACTTTCTAGTATGTGTATTAGCTGTGACCTCTTCTCTTGCTTGCGGAAATAAAGTGCCACTATAATTCAATTCTGCCAAAGTATATCTGTATGATCGTTGACCCTGTCTTAATAACTTGCTAAGAACGCAGAGTTGATCCCCGAGATCTTCGTCTGAAGCTCCAGAAGAAACAAGGGTCACAAAGTGGACAAGGGGCTGGTTCCACTGTGCGGGATCTACGCGAAAAACTGACCGGGACAATGAATCCGCAACCAAGAAACCGTGCCCCACCGAAATCTAAAGTGGAGGCTGCTAGACCAGTCATGAAGAGCGTGGCAGTTGAAGCTACTGAAACGGAGACTAAAAGAACTTCCAATCAAGCTACAAGGAGGAGGTTTCCGCAAACAGTATGAGTTCACTTTTTCTCATCTATAATTTTTTGGCATTAGAATTTCCCATGGGGGATGAGTTCACTGTTCTCATCTATATCTTGGATTAGATGTATTGCTTGAAAGTGCACCATAGTTGCAGTACCATAATACCATTACTCTTTCTCAGTTTCTTTTCTTTTGGGTCAGGCCGATGCATCAGTGGACAGCTTCCTGGAATCATTGGGTCTTGAGAAATACTCGATCAATTTTCAAGCGGAAGAAGTACGCATCTACTATGTGATTAATGCACATGGCCTTCACTCAAAGCATACGTATGTTGTATATTCCCATTCTCAGTTTTTCACTTCCTTCTCCAGGTTGATATGGCTGCACTTTTGCATATGAGTGACGATGATCTCAAGGCTATGAGTATACCAATGGTGAGTTCCACTGCTCAAAAAGCCACATCTCTTTGTTTCAAACCTTTTCCATTTCTTCTTATTCTACAAATTAAGGAGAATGGTCCATCTACTTTGTTTGATTCAGTTCAAAAGATGTTTTGGCTTAATTAGACATCAACTTAATAACATTCTCACCTTGAAATGTGCTCTTTGTTAATGAGCTGTGTTTGTTTCAGGGCCCGAGGAAGAAGATACTTCTTGCTTTGGCGTCTAAACACTGATGTTGAACTGTAGCTTTAGCTTGGTTGGCATGGTCTGTACAAGCTTGGTGGCATAATCTCCTAGAGGGATACATACATTTTGGTTATTTGTCTGAATGAGTCCTGCATTTAGCACTTGATTCTCTTTTCTTGTCTGTACTCGTGAGAAGGTTGCCCACCTTAAGGGACAAAAGTAGCCATTAGACAAGAGCTTTTCTAGAATTAAAAGTTGTAATCCTTTTAACATAGTGAATCTATCCTTTTCTCCTCTCTTTTTGATGTGGGATTGGTGAACCTTGAACTGATTTGAGACACTAGATGAAGTTTCAAAACGATAACAGTACATCATCGATGCTAATCTTGATACTTGAATTCGGGCACACTGAGTGAAACAAAACTCGGAGTATCAAAAGTCTTAGTTGTGTTCTAAAAAAGTTGCCGCTGGATCCCGTGTTGCAATGTCTGAAGGGGACAAGCATCTTAGGCTGTCTTCTTTCTGGTTAACGAAGTCAGGTACTTTGCCTTCTCTTGCTTATATCTTTTCCATTCTCGTAGTGCCGCAAGGATGACGTGCATTGACACGGGCAGAAAGAAGGGCTGTTCATGCAAAGAAAAAAAAACACAATCTTGAATCTGTAGGAGCAAGAAGCTGTGTTCAGTGTTGGGAAATGAACTAAAGTGTGCAATGGAGAAGTTCTACGAACCGAGTACACTGCAAAGCAATGCTCGAACGAGAAGTAACTGACAGACATGATGGAGGGATGGAAGAAAGCATCCTCAGCTAGAGATCTAGCTTCTCTTGATGAGCCTGATGGAAAGCAAAGTAAGAAACTTACTTGTGGCTATGGAACAAGATTGCTGATGGTTAATTAGAGTGTATGAGGGGAGGGGATGGAAACGTACTGGCTGATGAACCGTAAGCTCCTAAAGAAGCGTTAGATTGAGCCATCTTTGCTGCTTTGAGAGAAAACTTCACCTGGTCGGTCATGGAACCAACCAAATTTGGAGGATCAGTAAGAGAAGGGTGTCAGCAGAAAATCATGAGCAGAGTGAGAGAATGGGGAAACTCACTTGTTCTCCTATTTCATCCTTGATAATCATCCTCGGGAGTGATTGAACCTGCATGCACGAGATCACAAAGATAAGATTTTAAAAAAAAAACACGGAAAGAAAACCCGTGTGAGTACAAGGGTTTAATCACATACTAATCTAGAAAGTGAACCAAGAGTGTTTGCACACGACTGAAGATTGAAACATGTGTGCTGCCGCGATAATACATCCAATTCCCTGCAGAACACATACCGAGAGAGATGGTATATCGTAATTGGTATCGGCAATCACATTTAAAGAAGAAAACTTTTGATTTGATCCATAAGCATCATTAGTAACAAGGAGTCTCAAACCTATAAAAGGATTATGTTATGTCACTGGGATATATTATGCTTACCATTCTGTGAAGCCTCTTTCACTAGGTAAGATCTCGAAAGTGCCCAACCCACTGGTATACGTCGCTTCAGATTTAAAGCCGAAAAGTTGCCGGAATTGCCCCAAGAAAACTTCAAATATTTTCTCAAGATTCTGTTTCTCAAAACACACAAATCCATTGGGTTACTTCTGGGCTACCAAGTTCTGAAATATTCCATTCATATGAATGGCTAACCAACCATTGATTGCAACCTAAAGTGACATGATATACACTTAATTCTAAAAAATATATATATAATTTCATACCCAAAAAGACCAAAAATTTGATTGGAAAAGGACACTGACCTGAGGAGGGATAGAGGTCCTAGCTGGACTTCCAGAGCCTTTATCACAGTTTGCAGGGTTCCAAACAATAACTCCTCCCCACATCTATACAACATAAACAAAATCAGGAGATTAAGACATTTGCTTTGGAGGTTAGGACAAATATGGCTATGAATGTAAGGAAACGAACAGGAGATATGAAGCCATTCGTCTTAGACATCTCCCCATTCGGCAGCTGCAGTTGAAGAGGGCATTCTCCTGCAGATGGAATGTATCTGGCAACAAGAACCAAGAACATAGACATGAGAGATTTGAATGGAATGCTCATCTTCTGACCAGTTGATAAGATTAAGCACAAAAAAGTGAATATGTGATTGTGTATTCACGGCATCGAGTACAAAGTAAGCAATAGTAAGCGGAAAAAAAAACAGGAGGGGGTAAAAGAATGTACACCACAAATTGCAATATCTTAGAACGTCCACCAGCTCCAACAGAAGTGTCCAAGTGCCACTCATTTGAATTCACCTGGCCAGAAGAAAAAAAATCGGATAATTTGTTATGCCGAAAGATAAATCTAGATCGAAAAAGGAAACCGTAGGGGAAGATTCCATACAAAGAAAGGAAGATCACTCATCCTAAAGATGTGGCTCCGAAGTTTTTCATCCCAAGAGGCAAATGAGGACTTCGGTGTATGATACAAAACCTAGCCACGAGGAAAAAGAAGTCATTAAACAGAACGGAGAAACAGAACAAATGCCCGATGCTTGGGTTAATAGACAGTGTGAATGCTACCTGGCTTTCCACACTTATATTAGCTACAGGTTCCAAAGCTTTAATCACAGGACTTAACAAAGTCTCATCTATCCTCTGAAAATCCCTGTCAATACAAGGCACAGACAAGAAGTCACAGGCAAGAAAGTCACCATGAAAAGGTCCAACCTCAACTAATGCAGAAGCAACATACCAAGATTGAACTATTAGCTCTGCATGCTCTAAATGGTCAAAACCTAAAATGAATGTTATCGAGGTAATGCAAAATTCTGAAAATGCATCAGCTGGAAAACGAAAACAAGGTAAGAGAGCTGACTACTGATCATACCAATCGTAAACCCAATCGCGTGGATTTGAATTTAGTAGATTGAATGAGAGAACAACTTTCCCATCTGATCCTACTGGCATAAATTCCCCATTGATTGAGCTTTCCTCCCTCCCACCTTTCATAAACACCTTCACGAATATCTCGGAAACCTTAGCCACCATGTCTCCATATCTCTCCTCTAATCCACTTCCCACAATCCAGGCATGCCTGTGCTTGCCCACCACAGCCCTAACCTCACCTTCGCCATTGCCAAGATCTTTATTCACCACTACAACACTATATATTTTCCCGCCATGGCCAGTACAACCACCAAAAATATCATTCAAGGACTCATCCACTGCAGCATCCTCCAACCCAATACCAAAGTCATTTCCTTTTATCACCCCGCAGCGGTAGGAACATTTGGAAGGGTCGCGAACTATGGTTTCGGTACAATGGTCATCTGGGTCTTGTACAGTGACCGAGAGGGAGAAATTGCAAGAACCGCATCCTGAACTCCGATGGGTAAACTGAGTTACACCATCCAGTATTGCGGATCGCAAGTTACTCGGATTCATCGACCGGAAACCGACGAAAATGGCGTGGAAAGTACAGGGAAATTGCAACGGAGACGATTCAATTTGACCGGAAAGCGAGTCGATGTCGTGGAACGGCAACGGAGAGCGGTAGATTTCCACGGATTTCCACAGAAAGGGGAAACCTGAAACCTCAAAATTTTGAAAAACGTCAAGCAAACACCAAAATCGAACCTTCCAAAATCAGCGGCAGAAAAACGAAGAACGCTACAGATACCTAGAAGGAAACACACGAGCACAGATGTGGTGATCAAGAGACGCTTCGCGCCGGGCTTTGTAGTCCGCATGGTTTTCGGGTCAAACTCCGACATGGGTTCTGAAATCTCTCTGGTTGGATTCGGAGGATCGGAGATTTCTTCCATCGCGATTGCCGAGAGCTGCAGATGCGGACACAGACAGCGCCTGGCGAGGTTATGGTGTAATATAGAGATGGTTCACAATTTCTATATTATTAAAGTTCTATCAGTCTTATCTCAGCGATTAAGGGAATGGCTTGTAACCCAACGGTCTCGGGATCAATACCATGTCGAGCGTTTTCAATTTGCATTTTTTTCCAAGACAGTTCATATTCTTGTTCACTAATTCCATTTCCTTCTACCAATTATCTCTCAGTTTCTAGGACGTTTGCAATGAAAGATTCACTTAGTAGGATATTAAGAATGGAATCGAGGAAAAGATGGAATCACATCCTGCATATTTGTCCGCATGATCTTCATGACAATGGAAGAACAGTCCAACACAAGCGGAGGTTGTAGAGCACAGCAACAACAGGCTTCCATTGCAGAAGAACTCCATGATGGCAACTGTTGCATTGTTCAAAAAACCATCCCAAAACCCTAATAGGAAACTCAGCATTGGAAAGGGTTCCTCAGCTTTTGTTTCCACCCACAATCTGGCCTTGGAGACTCTGGTTATCTTCTAGCAATCTATCATACTCCAGCAACAGCTCTGAAGATTGTTTCTGTAGAGCGACGACATCTGTTGTTTCAAGCCTCTCGTCTTTCTCCATTGATTCTGCTTCGAGCTTTCTGAGATTGCCAGAGAGCAATGATAATTTCTCTTGTAGCTGCTTCACTTGGACGCTTCCTCTTCTTTCTCCTTGAGTTTGGTCCTCTCCTTCTGAAGCTTTTCGAGTTCTTCTTTTGATGAGCCGTTGTCGCTTCTTAAAGAGAATAGCTTTGTGAGGTAGAGGTGCATCCGGCCAATTATGAAACCGAGGAAGAGGACAACACCTGCATGATCATTAGGCTTTAGTTTCTCATGACATACACTTTATTAAAGTTCGATATCATCAGAAGTAACTCCAGGATTTCATATCCGAAAGAGGAGAAGATTCTGCAGAATTGGAGCTTTGTACATGTTCTGCAGAAACTTATAAGAGTTGATGTATGAGCTTCAGCAGAATTGGAGCAAGCAGGTGATGCTGAAAGAGTCATTCTCCGTACATGGAATATTGGAACTGTTGATCCCCGTCAACTCGCCCTTGAAATGTCACAACGAAAATGAATTAAGGATTAACCGACTACTACTACGAGAGAGAGAGAGAGACAGATGGATGACTATCATATTTCTTGACTCATTCAAGTTTAGGACCTCAAGAATGAAACAACATTTGCAAACAGTTGCTCATTCTGTACAGACAATCCTCTAGCTGTAACTATATGCAGAAAAAGCCTCCAGATCAGTAGAGTAGCCAGATTTTCAGCACAAGAAACAAGTAAAGACTGTAACTTTCTTCAGAAATCACAGCTATTATTGGGTAATTTAGAGGCAGAAACCTAAATACAACATTGCAAATCCATAAAACAATTACTAATTTAGGCAACAATAGAACTGAATTATGCCAGCAACCTAAGAACCCTACAACATTGCATCATACCTGGTTCGAGTGCTAACAAGATTGTAACTCTCTTCTTAGCTCACAGGAAAACTTACTAGAAGAAAGAAAACATCAGAGAGAGGAAATGAGAAAGGGAGATAGAGACTGACCCATTAGAGAAGCCCCAAGCAAGTGGGTTCTCCAAAGAACTTGATCCATGGTACCGAGTTTGGAACCCTTGTTCTGGATCCTGACGATGCTCAAAATTCTTGAAAAAGGAATCACAGACATGGTTCCAGCTATGGTTTTCACAGTCGCAGGACCTTTCCCCATCTTCAACTTGTCCAAGCTCTTTATGACAAGCTCTCTTAAAGGTCCGATCTTCACTAGCATTAGGAATGCAATCGCACCCTCTACGGATAGAACCAGAAATAGAAGCTGGATCATTCCGATAAACCCAAAGTTTACACCTTTACCCAGATTTCAAGCCAAGTAAAAGCCAGGAACCCTAAGTTCTCGCTTTTCCTTTCTAATCGGGCATCAATTTATGGAACTGGAAACCGAAACCCAGATCGGAAAACATAAAAACGGAGAGATAGATGCAAGCGCGTTCTCTGAAACCCATTTGCTTTTTCACGGAATAGGGGCAGCTAGAAACACAATCACCTCTTCTTGATACCACCAAGAAATCATCAATGACAAGGATCAACGAAAGAGGAAATCCAAATTATAAGAAAAAAAAAGAGACCTTTGATGTCTTTCCGGCGAAAAAAAGAGACCTTTGATGTTCTTTCTTCCGGCGAAAATGGGATCATGTGGAGCAAGAGAACCTTGGGTTCAACGAAGGAACAAAGTGTCTGCTACAAGCATATTTTGATCCCACCAATCAACTAAACCCGGTTTGAGTCGGTACAATTTAACTTAATTTGATATATGCGGTTTGATTCGGTTTTAGACTGGTCTAATTTATTCCGATTTGGTTTCTGATTTGATTTCTGGTTGGGTAGTTTCGAATCTCGGTTTATGATTTGGTTTACAAACTTGATTCTATATGCAGGGCCCACTAATCCAATATTAATTATTAATTAAGTTTAATAACCGTTGGATATATAATTAATGTCTTGACCTTAGTGCTCCACATGTTGGGTGTAGACTTGTCACAGAGACCTTCTCTTCTAAATCCTATACAATATGTCTGAATATATATATATATATATAATTTATAATATGTCTGAATATATTTATATATAATACCCTTTACGTGCAATTCTAAAATGTTTTAGAATGATTCATGATTATTTGACGACAAATTATTTTATTGAGCCGTCGATATAACAAGACAGAGGCACACCCGTCTCTTTCCAGTTTCCACTTTCCATGCCAACTTGTGCTCATATCGTCAGCAGTAATATGGATACGTTCCATATAAATATTTGACGACAAATTATAGATAAATTTTATTTTATGGAAACATTTCGTAATTTATTCAAAATTTTAAAAAAAAATTCAATTAGATGAATGGAGCATGTGACCTTATGTAGTTATATATAGCTCTGTTCATAGATATATATATGTTAAAATAGAAACAAAATATGGAGATTTGATATGATTGATACGATATATATTTTATTCTTAATTAATATTATGTCTTTAATTATTATTAACGATATCAAATCTTCATATTTTATTTCTATTTCAATAATATGGTTATTGTTTGTGGTCTTTTTTCTAAATTAATATGTCGGCGTTACATATTTTCTTTTATAGTTAATATAAAACGTATTTCAATGTGATATATATATATATCGATTTTTTTTATCAATATACTTGTGTATATTTTATTTTCATCGTTGCGTATATCTACATTTTGAGATCCCAAATGTCATAATAGCATAGAATATCGATTGGATAAAATGCAGATATAAGCTAAAAATATTTACAAACGTTTAAAGTTTCCTTTAAGAAACAAGGTGGATCATCAAAATCTTGAACTTAGAAAAGGGTAGGAACTTTTGTGCGTACATCCTGGAAATAGCAAAAGCTTCTCTGGCGTTAGAAAAAAGACGGAAGTCGCTCGTCCAAAGAAAAGAGAGGCGTTGAAGGAGTCCGAGTCCGAGTCCGAGTCGTCGTTTTACGCTGTCAGATAAACCACCATTACTTGTCAACGCTCTTCACATTTCTCTCTTTCTCTCTCTCTGGCCATTTTTTTTTTGGGGGGCGAGGACTGAAGGCCGATTTCGAATCAAAGTTCACAGCTTTGCAAAAGGGGTCGTCGATTTTGACTGAAGATTCGGATATGGCGGTAAGTGTTTTTGTTTTGTATTGTCTAAATCTTCTGTTCTGCTTCTGTCTGTTTTCCTCTCGGGAAGAGAGTCAAACGTGTTTGGTTTCTTCTTCTTTCTGTCTAAATCTGCGCAATAAACAAAATCTTCACAGTGATTCACGCTTTGTCTCTTCTGCTTCTCCTGCAATTTTGATGTTTCTGGGTATATCAAGTTCGAACCCTAGAAAAACTGTAACGAAATCATCGTATTAGTGTTTCCAGATCGGTTTTTCGTTTCTTGCGTCGCAAGTTTCAGCTTCACTGTTGAATGGTTTCTGGCTTTTTAAGTCAGATCACAAGGCATGAAAAGCACGCATTTGTCATAAAAACACACAAACCCTTTCGGTTGCAGAAGCGTCCAAACGTACCGAAATTCGGGGATTGGCAGAACGATACGCCGTTTTCAGTCGTTTTCGAGAACGCGAGGAAGAAAAAGAACCCTCACGACCCGAAAGGGAACCCAGAGTTGCCATCGAACCAGGGATCTCCGTCGCGGCATCCTCGTACTCCGAACCCCACTAGACACGAGCCACCGAAACAGATCCTGAAACAAGGGTCAAACGGTTTCAGACAGAACAGAGGAGGGGAAGAGTTCAGAAGGTTCGCACCATCTCCTGCTCAGAGCGACAAGAACAGCACGAGAGTTAGGACTCAGGTTCCTCCAAGGGAATCCCACAATAACAATCGTCCGTATGGAGGCGGAAACATCAATCAGGCCGAGACGAACAGGCGGCCTCCACCACCTCAGAATCCGAGGCCAATAGCTAACGTTAGAGGCCAGCAATATCGGGTATGCGCGCGTGTGTGTGTGTGTGTATTTCCATTGTCTACTAACAGCATCTCGTGAGTCTTGGTTTCTTGTTGTGAATGAATATTGATGAACGTAAGGCACCTGCAATTCCTCCATTTCCGGGGAAAGGTTCGAACTCTGAGAATTATACGCACATTTTCGAGCAAGTGAGGGTGGACAGACACCAAGAAGGAGGGAGGACGTCTGTGGGCAGCACTCCCACTCACCCCATCAACCACCATCCCCATTCTTCTCCTCCCAACATTAGCCCCAAGGTATGAATATCTATATATGTATGTATACACTTCACAAATCTATACATACACCCTTTTCTCCAAAGCACATACATCTATCCCCCTGTTGGTGCATTATCCACTGCATTAAGGTTGTTGTTGTTGTTGTTAAACATGTAACTTTAGACGACATTTCAAGTTTTTTTTTGTTTCTCATGAATGAATTATCATTTCCAGCAGAGTTGCTGCTTTCCATGGAGCCGGAAAGGGAAATACTGAATATATATATATATATATACACAGACACACACGAGCTTCAAGCCTTTTATTCATATTGTAATGGATTTTTTTTTTTTGGTTTTTTTATTTTCTTGTGTGTTTGTGTTTGTATGGTGAAAACTGTTGGAGCATCTTCATCATACTTTATATTACATCTACATATTGGATAATCCTTGCTATTTCCTTAAATTGCTGGAATTGAAATAATATAAGCTTTTGTCATCTGTCGCGCTCTTTTTGTTACTAATCTGAATTTGATAAATTCGGCCCATGGGCCCTTATTGTTACTAATCTGAATCTGATAAATTCAGCCCATGGGCCCTTACCTTTTGTTACTAATTTGAATTTGATAAATTCGGCCCATGGGCTCTTACTTATTGTTACTAATCTGAATCTGATAAATTCGGCCCATGGGCTCTTACTTATTGTTACTAATCTGAATCTGATAAACTCGGCCCAAGGGCCCTTCCCTTTTGTTACTAAACTAAATCTGATAAATTCGGCTCATGGGCCCTTACTTTTTGTTACTAATCTGAATTTAATAAATTCGGCCCATGAACCCTTAGTCACAAAACAGGTTTAGTTCCATTCATTACTCCTATAAAGAAACGGAATGCTGTTTTAATAAAAAAATAAAAAAATCACAAAACATCACGGCGTGTGGTTGCGAGTTGGGAAAACAGCATAAATAATTGGCTATGGTGTGCCGTTTTTATAACTCGTACTCGGCACCGTTAGGATCGCGACACGTGTACAACCCCTTCCTTCACACCGACCGTGTGCTTCTATTATAAGCTCAAATTTACTTCTCCCCTCGTCGTCTCTCTCTCTCGGTTTCTTCTGTGTTTCTCTCTCTATGTGAATGATCCCTTCAACTCTATAAACCCTAAAGAGAGGGAGGGAGGCGATATCAATCATCAAACGGATTCTTCTCGTCTTCGGAGATGTTTTCAAATTTCAATTGAAATTCTTTTTACGACGAGCTTGATCGACGAGGTCTTTCGGTTTCAAAGGTACAATCTTGGATTCATGCCCTGATCCGTCAATCTCGTGGTGATCGTTTATGGACAGAATATCATTTGCGTTCTGTTTTTTTGTCTTTTGTTTCTATGCGGAGCTTTGGGTTTTTTTCTTTGTTGATTAAATTGATTTCGTCTGAATTTTACTGGGCCATTAGGAATAAGACTTCGGTTTTTCTCTCTCTTGTATACGAACTTGGGTTTCTTTGAATTTTGAAATTGGTCAGTTGTTCACTGTATTGATGGATCACAAGAAAATCTCTTGGAAATCTGGTGAAAGTTTATGACTTGAGTAAGCTGTGAAGTGTTCTCCAGAAGATGGAGAAAATTTTGTTCTCCCACTGGGTGGGGAAGAATCTCTTGCTACTGGGAACTTCCGCACTGATTTTTTTATCTGGTGGTTGACCCTGAAAGAAATTTGCAGGCACGAGGATTGGGGCTACTCTGGGGGCAGAGATGGATCCTCAGGGGTTGAGGGGAGCTCGGGGGCATCGACGGAGGAAGGCAACGATAGATTTGAATGTAATACCAAACGAAACCCGAGACCAAGACGGGATCTCCAACTCGGGAAATGCTGGAGGGGTTACTGTTGGTGACAATCAAGGGGAGTCTGTATCTGCTCCTCCTACTATTGATCTCGATGCTATTGATGATGATGTTGTCTTATCATCTGCAAGCGCGTTTGCTGAAGTCTGCCCTTTGTCTTTTCTTTTACTTCCCTTTAGCAAATGGATAAGCTTTGTTGTTTAGACAGTTGCTGATGTTGTTTCATTATGATGCCAGGCTAAAAACAAATCAACAGGCGCACGCCGGAGGCCTGTAATGGTTGATGTAGATTCAGGTAAACTAAGTATTTCGATGCATTGCTTTGGAGATTCAAGTCCAGATTTATCTGTTTGTGAAGAGGAATTTAAAACGGAACAGTGCATCTATGATAGGTCATACGAGTAGAATACCTGCCAGCATCAGCAACAAACGGAGAAAGGTTCCGCCTAATCAACCTGTCATTGATTGTGATCGTGTCATTATGCTCACGGTTGAAGCAGTAACAGAGTGATTTAGATTTCTTACTTTCCGGTTTCTGATTGCGTTTGTTGTATGTGACTGTTTTCCACTCGGTCTGACACTCGACATTTTAATTTTACGTGTTCAGGAGGAGTCTGTTTCAAAACCCCCACCTCCACGAGAGGAGCCGAAGTTTACGTGCCCAATTTGTATGAGTCCATTTACTCAGGAGACATCAACAAAGTGTGGTCATATTTTTTGCAGTGAATGTATAAAGATGGCAATATCTAGCCAAGGTAAATGCCCTACATGTAGGAAAAAGGTTACTGCGAAAGATTTAATTCGGGTTTTCCTTCCAGCCACCAGATGAATGATACAACTCAATCACCACACCACCCACCCATATGTAAGTCTCTGCTTAATGGGATTTGTTCTAGTTCTAACTCTTGGATTCTAAGAGTTACTGTAACAGCTGTGTGTTTACACACAATCTGATCTTTCATTGACCAAAAAAATGCTCTTTTATCCCCATTTTTGGCAGGGCCAATGATATACAATTCCCAGATTGATTTTGGAACGAGGGGATGTCAAAAATGAGGTGGGCATTCTGTATCTGAATAATTTCGGATTTCTGGAAGTGAAGCTGTAGTGTCTGGGGATTACGGGATCTATTTTTTTCAATTCAATGGATATCACCGTTATACTAACTTTCTGAACAACTCTCGTTTCCTAGTTACTGTTCTGTGTACCCTTTAGATTGATTAAATCCTCAGGCACGCGGTTCCCCCTTAACCTTCTTTTAGGTGTCAGGGGGGGAATGAACATTGAATGTTAATGAAAGCATTTTAACACTTTATATGCATGGATGGGTTAGTTTAAATGGATTTGAAGGAAATTCTATTAGCAAACAGCACATAGATTTGAAGGAAACACTTGTTTATTTTGTCGCCAACTAATCATGAATCAGAAGACGTATTATATATTTGTATATATTCAGATAAAAGGGTATCCAGCAGCTTGTCAATCTGATCCGACATGGACCCCTTTGTGCTTAAGGAAGTCTTTGGCCTCTGCAATATCCTGCGAAGGAAGGGCAAGAACGAATAAGCAATGAATCAACAAGGATCTCAGCTGCTCTAATAATCACCGCATCCATGGATGGTGAGTCCAAGTTGATGCATGCTAATTCTAATGATCGTTCTAATAAGAAATTGTGGGCAGAGAGAGAAATGAAGAACACCAACTTGTCTCTCCAAATAGGAGCAAAGAAGAGAAAGAACCCGCTGCAGTAGAACTGCTTCTTGGGGACAAGTGGGAAACTGCATTAGACCGTTTCCAACCATTAACAGGCCATAGCATCCGAGAGAGACAACAAAGTGGATCGGCAACTGGAAACGCGGGTGAAAGAGAGAAAAACTGCTTAATCACGACAACTTTTGCTAACTAAGAAGAATGATAATAAAGGAAGAGAGGGTACTTTTACACACCAACCAAGTACGACTTTGGGGAATAATTGCAGCCTGCAAAAGGCCAATCCAGAAGGCAGAGATTGCCATCAGGAGGCTCAAGATCTTCACCACATGCTTCATTGGCCTTGACACAACGATCCTCTGCTAAGTTCTGTAGATACTACAGTTTGGACAAAATGAAAGGTAAGAGTTGCAGCGTGAATGTACGTCGATATCAATACGCTCTCCTAAAAGTTGTAGAACATGAAAGAAGGAAGAACTCAATGTGCTACCATAAAGGAGAGCTACAGCAGTGGATTCTTCAGGGTCTCATGAGTTAAACATTATACACCTTCACAAAGCCCTGGACAGATTTTCTCAAACATCACCGGGAAATAGTTATCAAAACCAGAACCTCTACTTTACAATTCTGTGCCAAAAATTATGGGCCATCAGAAAGGATACAAAAGTAAATGACTTTTTACTTGACCAATCTTTGCTGGTGATGCAATCTTTAGTGACTCAAAGCCCTTGAGCAGATTTACCAGACATCATCACAGGCAACATAATTCCAAAAACCATAATCTATGAAAATCTAGACAGCTCAAAGACCCAGATTATTTAACTAAAACAGTCCAACAAAACTCAGATTTTCACCTCATAAACATAATCCTATAACGGATAATATTAGTAGGTGCCATCAGATGGGATATGGAAAATGAATGACTTCTCACAGTTCCTCAGATCACAGCATCGAATCCTCAGGAACTCAAAGCCCTTGCGCAAAATTTCCCAAACATCACAGGCAAAAGAAATTTGAGATGCTCAAGAACTCAAAACATATAACAGAGAAAAAAGTACCTTTTTTATGTCCAAGCACTAATCTGGTGCCATCAGATGGGATGTATTATGACTTTCTCACAGTTCCTCAGATCTTCAGGAACTCAAAGCCCTTGCGCAAATTTCCCAAACATCATATGGCATTGGCAGCTTAGCCATCAAAAACCCACATACTTGAACACAAATCAAACCCAAATAAACAGAGAGATTACTCGGAAACAGATGTAAGATCACCACAAAAAAATGGGTAACAAATCCGGCCAAGCGATTGTTGTCAATTCATCGAACAAATTTTGTGTAGATGACGAGAGAGCATCTAATCGCGGGTAAATTAACGAATCCAAGAGAGTGACATCAAAATGAAAAAGTAGAAAATGAAGAGCTCAGACATTGTCGAAGTAGATCGAAGATATACTCACCAAATCTTGCTTTATCCCCCCGTTCCTGAACGCTCGAAGCTTTTATCGTTAGGGTTTCAGTTCAGATCGGTTTTGCTCCACTTCACTTTAGATTTGGATACACACACACCCATCCCGGGTTGGGTAGAATTGTCTTTTCCCTAACAGGCATGTTATCCTGAGTAAGAACAAAGATATCTCCCCCCGGGATAAAGCAATCCCCATTGTTATCAAATCAGTCTCTTTTCCCTTTTTGTTTTGCGAGGAAAATAAACTGCTCTTACTTGTTCTCGGCAAGAAAACGGCACGTAGTCTTGATATTGGGCTTATTTTATTGGGTTGGGCCCATTAAGAAAAGTGGAGTTAAAAAGAGCCGTCTTGACCCGATAACCCAAACCGCCTTTTCAACGTCTCCAGCTATATAATCCCTCTTCTTCGCAAGTTGTCTTGTTTGTTTGTTTCAGATTCTTCCATCTAGGGTTTTTGGCATTCGCAGCGTTCGAATTCGATCAATCGACAGATTCGGCGAAGATGATTTACGACGTTAACTCCTCTCTCTTCCGATCCTTCCTCAGTCAGAAGGGTGGAGCTTCAGATAAGAGGTCCATCTCTCTCTCTCTCTCTGAATTTGTCGATGCAGTCATGATATCCAATTACGGGGCAATATTGAGAGTTGTGTCCATATTCGTTCATGTTTGGATGGGTGACGAGCCAGCTTTAGATAAATCCCATCGATAATTGATTAGAAATAGCTCTTCATCGGACTTTGATTGGTTGCGGTTGCTGCTAAATTGGAATGAGTTGAAGTGTTTGTGAATTTGGCCAATATTTTCTGTGAAACCCTTGTCCCTGTTTGCGAACCTAATCACTTGGTAGCCTTTTCTGTTTGGTTTGGGTTTCACGTCTATGGTTTTCTTGTTCTTTATATCGGTTGGATCAGAATACAGTTTGTTCTGATCAGATGAATGATGTTGTGTTGCAGGAAGAACGAGGAACAGAAGCCAAGGGAGCAGAAACCCAAAGCTAGCGAGAACAAACCTGTCATGAATGAATGAGCAGTGAATTGAACTGTCTGTCTCTCTACATGCATCTTGTCTTTTGGTTCTGTCTCAGTTTGACGGTTTTGCTTGTTCTTGTGGTTTTCCTTTGAAAAACTTTCCAGACTTTGTTACTGCATCTGTCCTATTTTTTTGTCTCACAACATTCTGATCGACTCTCCAAAGGAATTCCCTGATGCGGGATCTCTTTCCGTAGGGATTCAACCATCTCACTAAATTCCATAATCTATTGTTTAACCTACACATACATATATATATATATATACACATTCGATATGATCTCAAATCCAAGAAGGATCTTCACGCCACATTGCAATGCAAACTAAATAGAATTTTGAGAAAGTTGATGGAACAGAGGGACCTAAATTTCACATGGACTGGGGGGATCGTTCGTTTTTTCATCAGTTATATAGCATATGGTCTTAAATGTCAATCCAGCTTTGGGGAGTACCCCAAAAAAAAAAAAAATCCTCCATCCAAGGCAAACAGAACGAACCTTTACCCAAATTCTATTATAGATTCTTGCGATGGGTTTATAGATCAGAATGAATCTTCCACAAAATGTGGGGGCAAATAAGGGCCAAAACGCCAATTTCTTGAATCCAAAAAAAATAAAGACAAAAACTTGCACTGTTTTCTCTAAAGCCGAAACGAATCATACGAGAGAAATGTAAGTTTAAGGACACCTTTCCCCATACTACTCCTTTCTACTTCCGAAATTACTGTACCAACTGACATTTACCTCGGGGGCCGACAAAAACATTCAGATGATCTTCATCCAGAAGCAGGGACATCAGACTCCAGGTTGGTTTTGTTTGCCTTGTTGTTGTTGACAGAGACATAAGCACCACGGTTCGTCCGACCACCACCACCTTCCGTTCTATGGTAGCCGCCATTCCCTCTGCGGCTTTTATACCCTCCTCCTCCACCCCTGTTCCCATACTCACCTCGGCCATACCCTCCTCTGCCTCCTCCATAGTACCCTCCTCTGCCTCTCACTCCCTCACTTCTGTACATGTTCCCATATCCGGATGAAGGCCTTCCTCTGTTACCTGATCACATAAAGGATTGAGCTTGAGTACCCATATCCAATCCAAGTGAGACTTTGCTAGTTATACCAACTCACCTCTAGAGGTAGATCTCTTCTCCTCCACAACCGTTTTCCGGCCACCGATAATCACAGGCGAAGCCTAGAAATATAAAATGTCTTTTTCCAATCAGCAATTAAAGGCTCTAAGAAAATTTTAGTGCCCTTGTAGAAGGGCATTTTCAGCAGCAACCCCAGAATTACAGAGAAAGGAAATTTGAAATATGTTGCAGACTGCAGTATACAACTCCATACCTCTATTGCCCTCTGCGCTGCATCCGCCTCCTCAAACTCCACAAAACCATAAGCAAATCCCTGTCAGCAAAACAATCTATCATCAGCGTCCTTTGACCATAAACAAGGTTCCTTGTCTGGTTCGTCAGATTAGTTAATTTGTACCCATTGATTTATAACTTGGATTCCACCGTTTCTGATTGTTCCAAACTTCTTAAACTCATTCTCAAGCAAGGCATGGGTTGCATTAGGAGGCAGACCCTTCACGTAAATAGATGCACCCTCAGCTGTGAGTGATATACACAAAATTAAGGTTGAGGAAAGGGATAAGATAACATGGGGAAAAAAGGAAAATTGAACTCGGAGACTAAGGGTAAATGAATCTAAGAAAAATTCACCTCCATCCCGATTGTCCACATTTCCAATAGCATCAGAGGCCACCGTAACTGAGTCAGATTTCAGAGCTGGGCAATCAGAAGCCACTCGTTGATCTTGGTCTTGTGATACCGGCTTTGGAGGAGGTGAGGGGGCAGCTAAAACTCCAGTTCTCTCCTTCATGACCGCTGGAGGATCAGAAACCACTGGTTGAGCTTGGTCTTGAGATACCAGCTTTGAAGGAGGTGAGGGGGGAGCTACAACTCCAGTTTTCTCCTTCGTGATCGCTGGAGGATCAGAAGCTATTGGTTGTGCTTGGTCTTGTGATACCGGCTTTGGAGGATGTGAGGGGGAAGCTAAAACTCCTGTTTTCTCCTTCATGACCTTCAATGATAGCAAAAATGATCAGCATAAGATATCTTCAGATACTAAATACGCAAACCTACAGTAAAAAACAACAATGCCATCTCCTAATTCCATAATGAGCTACAAGAAAATATCTAGTGAACGCTGCTAAAGCAAAACAATGACAAGAAACTCAAGGTAAGTCCACATACGACAGAGGCATAAGATATCTTGGGAACATCCTGAGGTCCATTTTCCTGCTCAGAAGCTTTTTGTGAATCATCAGCAACCTCTTCGTTCGTGATCTCCAGTTCCGGAACTGCATTGACGAGCTCAGGTGCTGGGGGTATCTCTTCCACGGTTGGAACGTTCCCATTATCCGGCTTACTGGCTTCCCCATCACCAGAATTCACCAATGTAGAAGCAGATTGCTCAGGAACATTACCGGCTTTAGTAGGGACTGAAATTTAAATAGGACTGCACATGCTTAGCACTAAAACAGGTACACCGAACAAGGTCATAGAATGAATAAAGTTTTAGCCCTACCAAGGGGAGGAGGAATGGGTGCTTCAGAGGCTGTCCTAGCTACAATATCTCCATCTTGGGTCTTCGGTGGTTCATCAACAAGCCTAAAGATGTCATTTAGGACAAAGTAACCATTTTCTTGGGGAGCAAGGAAGAAAGTCTGGATGAATTTCCTCTTAATTTTCTTCTCATGAAAAGGAAAGTAGCCAGTAACAACAACGAGCACACCCCCATTGTAAGACTCTTGGGAATCCACAGTTATTATCTCAGCAGCTCTAAAATCTCCATAAGCCAGCAAAAGAAGATTCTCATGTATAATCTGCAATCGTTTGAAATCAAACAGAGAAATTCAGCGGAGTTGCCAGACTCAGATGTCCAACCTTAAACAAACCAAAAGCCAGCCAAAATCTTCAAGGAAACTCGACATTCACATTTCTATATGATGTTAATTACATAAGTAAATTGCAAATTCAGAACATATAGTGGCATCAAGAATTATCTGATTCTTAGCACATAAGTTACTCTTGTTACTAACACGCAAAAAAAGCGAATGTCAAAGACCAGGCAAAGAAAAATAAAAAGAATCTCACAGGCAAGGTGGTGAAGACTAGCATCTTCTCATCCGGTCCAGGACGCCCAATCTTACTGAAATGTTGATAAAACTGATAGAGACACTCCGGCTTGTCATACAAAATGTGATAGTACTGGAATACAAATGCATTCGCAACCTGTATTCCGCCAACAAATGACACTTCTAACCACGCAAATTGGAAGAACCACATAGAAAAACCAAATTGGAACCCCATGGTACTTACCACGTTCGAATCAATAACCACAGGAAGAACTTGATGCATAGCAGAAGCCATAGCTCACCAACCTCCGGAGAACAAGCTTAACCCTGATACAGCTAAAGCATTTCAACACAGACCAATTTCCAGACGCAATTCTGCTTCGAGATCCTTAAACTTAAGGAATAACATCAAGCCACACAAGTCATGTCCGAAACTCCGATTTTTTTGCGGAGATCATTTACCAAACTCTACACAGAGGCCATCTCACAAAACTCCGCAAGCTAGAGTTGAAAATGGCTATTCTCTTCTCAAATAAAACAGTATGAAACATAGTTTTGGCATTTTATCCATAGTCGTACAGAGAAAGAGACACTCCGAACCACTACTGATCAAAGCAATGACCATCACGGACACAATGAAACGAAATTACCCAACGCAACTGACCTGAAATCTGGGAGAGAAGAGAAGGCTAGTGAGAGAGAAGCTTCTCCTAAAGGATTTTGGCGGAATCTTAGAGCTCCGATTTTCCCCCTCTCCTCTGCAATGGCAGTTCCTAGGGTTTTGCAAGATCGCAACAATGAGGGAAGACAAGAGACACAAAGGAGAGGGCTTTTGGGGTTTATATAGTGAAGGATGCAGAGAACTTTCCAATTTCAGCCACGTGTTAACAGCCTATTGAGCCTACTTAATTACTAAGATTTGTTTAAATAAACTTTAATAAGTAATATTAGTAAGATTTCTCTTAAAATTTTAAATTTATGCAACATAATTTAATTTTGTGTCCATATATTTCTTCAATGTCCTTATATACTTTATCATTTTCTATATATTTTTTTTATTTTTTATTTATTCAAACATCGTGATAAGAACAACTGTCATCGTGATAAGAACGACAGCGCAATATAAACTGGTCTAAACAACCGTTATATTATTTTTTTTAAAAATAATTATGAATATCTATATATAGTTATATCGATATTTTTATATAGTTAAGATATTTTATAAAAGTTAAATAATTTAAAAAAAATATTTACTAAAATAATACAAAGACGAATGATGTTAAAAATGAATATGAGTCGGATATCTAATAATTATAAAATATTTGAATTTGTTCAAGATATTTTAATTAGAAAAAAACTCCTAAAAAACCTCAAACTTGCAAAAAAATATACAAATAAACTTTCAACTTGCAAAGCAATCATTCAAACCTCAAACTTGCAACATGTAACTGAATAAAACCTCAAACTTGCAAATTGTTACTCTAATAACCCATTGACTTGTTTGACCACAATTTTAATCAATCAGAAATCCATGTTGGTCCGAAAAACTGATGTCAGTGTGTCCTCATAATCAACTTTAAATGAATTTTTGCCGGATCGAAATTTAATCCGATTTGAGAGTAAATAAAGTCGGTTTTTCGGGCCAAAGTAACAGAACATAATCAGATTGAAAGTTTATTCAGTTAAAATTGGTTACATAGACATGCCGACATCATCGTTTCGGGCCAACATGAATTTTCGATCGTCTGAAATTGTGGTCAAACAAGTCAACGGGTTATTAGAGCAACAATTTACAAGTTCGATGTTTTATTCAGTTACATGTTGTAAGTTCAGGGTTTGAATGACAGCTTTGCAAGTTGAAGGTTTATTTATATATGTTTTTGCAAGTTCGAGGTTTTTTATGGGTTTTATCCTTTAATAAAATATAGAGAGAATCATATATAAATACATGAATTTATAATGAAATTTTATTTGTATATATATATGAGTTTTAAAATTTCTAAAATTGGAATTTTTCATTCTAACTTTAAATCATAAATTTTATTCGACTTTGAAAAACCATCACAATATTTGATATCGTTTATTTATTTTTAGAATCTACCAAATAGACAATGAGTTGACAATCAGAAAGTCAAATCATATTCCATGGCACATACGATATTTTCTATATATTTTTAATAAAATTAATTTAAAAATTTTAAAGTTCATATATATGTTTATATATGTATATATATGAATAATAAACATGTATATATTTTTAAACATATGTATAAGCATGTATATCTATTTAGATTTTAAAATTTTTAATTTTTAGTTTTCTATTTTCAAATGTCAAGTTTTTAAAAATTTTAAAATTTTGACAAGTAACCTAATATAATTAGATATTTTTAAATACAAAAGATGAATTGAATCTGACATAACTAGATTTGTTAACTGACAAGTTAAATTATATTTTTTAGATTTTGTCAATCAATAAATGATGTTAATATCGTGATTATTAGTGTAAAATTTAGGATTTAATATAGAAATGAGTTAGACTTAGCGTATTATTTTTTAAATTTTTATATTTATGTATTTATCTAATATTTCTAATGGTGGTCATTTCGTATTTCGGTTTGATTATATTCAAGTTCGATTATTTTGATTATAAAAAATTATAACCATTTGATTGTTAATGGTAAATACTAAATTTTTAAGAAATTTTCCTTTTTTATTATTTTTATTCAATTTAGTTTGAATTCAATTTTTTCATATTTAGATAAATTATAACCATTCAGTTTTTTATATCGAATCTAGTTCAATTGTTGTTATATCTTATTAGATTCGTCTACTTGTTTATTAACTAAATTGATCACCCTTAATTATTTCTACAAATTGTATTTATATGTATTTTTCTATAATTATTAAAATTATTTTTAAATTTTTTATAATTATTATAGACATTTTAAAAAAATAGTTTCAACATTTTTAAGACAAAAATTAAAGATAATTTCAATTTTTTTAAATAAATATAAATATTTTTTTTTTCTTCTTTAGATTAAATATAACTAGAATGAATCATAAAATTGTCCAATCCTTTTCCAAACCCAAAAACAATTTATATATAATACATGCTTAAAAATAAAATCCATATACAAAATATTCCGTAATTTTGTTTGAAATAACCATTTGTAAATAATGATTTTAAACATAAAATTCATGAATCCATTATATTGTTAATTTGTTTGAAAATTTTTTAATATTGAGAAAATCAGTGAAAAAGTTAAAACCCCATTTTTTTAAAATACAGTTTGATAAAACAAATCTTTAAAAATATCTTTTATTATACAATTTTAAAAAATATATCCTTGGAAATGTATCCAAAAATATGTGTTCTATTTTTTTTTTTGTAAATTACATACAATAAATGAATAAACTAGAGAAATATAAAGGTGATTTTTTTTTAGATCTTGACGTAATTATAAAGGTGAAAATTTTCCAATGAATATATAGTCACATGTAAATCAGATTTATAAAGTAAGTGTTTGTTTTTTAAATTTCACTTAGTCGAATTTGAATTTAATTTAAAAATGATTTTTTTAATAAAAATTTGACTTTGAAGGAACTTAGTAAAAGCATGTGAAATGTGAATTAAAATCGATATAAAACTAAATAAATATAATTATTAATAATGTTTGCAGTCACAATTATTAAATAAATATACATGCATGTATGCAAGTGGGAGGCAGGGCGACCAAATCGTGTTGACTCATGGAGCCCAGTGTTGATACGGGTCAATTTAAATGAATTTATTGGAGATAAAACCTTTTATATTAAATAAACAAATTTTGTAAAATTATCCTATGTTTCGATAAATCGTAAATGAAATATATAATTACCATAGATATGATTATACTCGTATTTGCACATCTATATGTATGCGTATATATACTTACATATATGCATGGCTGTATTTAGGGAGGTAACTGGAGGATCACTCTTCTAAAATTAATCTCAATTATTTAAATTAATATTAATCTCATTAATATTTATAGAGATCATTTTTTATGACATATCACTAATGTTTTGTGTCTTGTATATATATATATATATATATATATATGCGTGTATTCTTTAATTTTACTTTTTAGTTTAAAATTATTAGAATGATATGTTTTATTATGACGTTAATATAATCCAAACACATCATTGATATAAATTTGTCAATCCTAAGTTCTATATCGAATTTTATCTGTATCTTAACATTATAATAATCCGAAAAAATCAGATAATATTTTAATAATAACAATACTTTATATGTAACTCTTGGAAAGTATTCGTGCTTAATTATAAGTTTTTTAGATTTTACCAAAAAAAAAAAAACAGTTACATGTCTATAGAAAAGTTTGACGGAATTTCATTTATTTATATGAAGATTTTCTGAACCAACCAATGATTGCTGCAGCGCACATTTGGGCAACCACGAGAAGTGCTAAAATATTATATACTTAATTATATTAAATTTGCCGACAAAGATACGGTCAATGGCCAAGTTGCCAATAAAATATTCACATCTCAATTTCAGATTATAAGGTTGGTTAAGGACCATGCAAATAAATTCGACTTTTAAATATTCGAACACTCAAGTATTCGTCGATATATGAATTTGGTTATGGTAGACGATAACTTGATATTCGAATTTATTTTTTTTTGGTTAAAATTCGAATTTTATTTTCGGTATTCGATAGCGAGAATTATCCAACACTAGATTGTATCCAACATTAAATTGGTTTGCTTATGGGTATATTATATGTAGTTATAAAAGACAAAAGAAGTAGCTGTGAAAAATTATAATGTGTATGAAGTGAATTTTCTTCGTATATATATATAAATAGTATATTTATAAATATTTCAATATATATATATATATAATTATTCTGGATGAAGTCGCTTTCTAATTCGTATCTAGGGATCATTTGGAAACACATGTGGTGAACATTATGATTAAATGTATATCGTAAGTTCTAACGGTTTTACCGATTTGGATAATGTATTTACTTATAACAAATTTATATATAGACAATAGATATGTAAGAATTATATATTTGGGATCTTAATTAATGAATTGTATAAATGGCTTGGATGGAATACATACATGCATACATTCTAAATGGGAATTATTTTTGCTTCGATCTAGTCCAAAACACAGTTACTTATCAATAATGGATCTACTACAAAATTCAAATAATTTATACAGAAATCTACCGTTAAATCATTGAAGTACCAAACAAAGTTTTTTAAAATATAATAGAAACACGAATCCATGATACACACGTATACCATGACCTCCCAGACCATTATACCACCATAGACTTAGATATATAAAGAACAAAGTTTGATCATTTTGTTCGCAGACGGTCCATTAGAAACAAAAACATTTAATAACAATTTATACATGCCGGTTATCAATTCGCAAGCAGAAGGAGGAAAACAATATTTATAAAATCGGTTCAAAATGTCGTCAAACTCAAAAGACCTGCTGAAGCGGAGTTCCTTCGAACTCAAAAACTGTACAGAGGAAGAAGACGACAAAAAACGGGTGATAAACGGCGACAAAAACGAACTCCCTTCTGGCGAGAATGTTCAAAAACTGGAAGGGACAACGGTGATATGTCTTAACGGATTCGAAACTTCGGTTCCTCCAGCGTGTCGGATGAATTCCGCGGGCGAGAAAGACCGCCCGTGGCACACGCAAACGATGCTGATCTCGGATTTCGAGTACCGATGCAAAAACCCGTTAACGACCTTCCCTTCCGGTCCGTTTCCCGTCGTCGTAACGCAAGGCATTCGGGCAAGCTGGAGCAGACTACTCTTCACATTACCGTTATGTGACGGCGGTTTAGGAGGTTTACCGTTTTCCCTGGCACCGACTGATGTCTGTGTACTTGTGTTTGAAGTTTGTTTCGTCTCTGGTAGAGACCCGTTTGATATCTCTGCGCTCTGTTCTGTTTCGCCTGGTCCGATGTTAACCCCAGTTTGATCTGGCTTGGTCTGGACCGAGTCGCTACTGCTACCGCCTGAGGTTAAAAATGGCATGCTTTAGATACAAAATAACTCTTGATACCGTATAAGACTTTTCTGTATACACAATGAGTGTACCGTATTATACAGAAAATACGTAGAAAACTTAAACCCCAACATACATAACTGCAACGATATCATTATATCCTCCAGATTGTAGAACATACGAACTTCATGAAATTTTCAGACCAAAGTTTCAGGTTAATGCTCCTACAAACATTCACACATGCGACCATCACATACGCTTTCGACCACTATCTAAATCTAATGCTAAACCTAAATCACGATTCATACATGCGTACACATTATTTTACAGAATAATAAGGGTGTAACCGTAAATAAGATCATTACCTTGACGGCGAGAGTAATTTGGGTCGGAAACGGCCGAGGAGCTGCAAACGGGTGACCCATTTGAAACCGGCTTGACGTTATCCTCGACCCCATCTGAACCGGACCCGTTAACCACATTATTCTCTTTCACTGCCATCGTACGGTTAGCAAACGTGAGATTCGGAACCATGTACGGATACCGGCCCCAAACCCGAGAGACCGGGTACGAACCGGAGAAGGCAGTTTTCTGGTTCTGTTCAACGCTTAGATTCAAGTCGACGCACTTGGTCTCGCCGTTAACGGATCCGTTACATTCCGTCTTCATCCTCTTGCCGTCTCGTTCGGCGCCGGAGGCAGAGACGGAAACGACGCCGTTTAGGGATTCTCCGCCGTTTCTCGCTCTGCACAAGCCCCTTCTCTGTTGTTGCTTCGCCTCTCGCTTCTTCCTCGCCTCTTGCCTCCTCACCGCGTGGATCTCACGCTTCGACATGCCGTCGACACAATCGATCGGTTTGGGGTTCCGGCTTCCGTATCCGGCGGATTTTTCGGTCTCGATCGGTTTGGGGTTCTCCGTTTTTCTGACGGAGCCTCCGAGGGAGAGACAGAGCTCGAGTTCGATCTCGTCGTCTTCTCCGAACCTTGTCGCTGTCGAGTTAGCATCCATAGACGAACCAAAAAAAAGGCACAAAATGTCCAAAAAAATCCGAAGGGTATTTCTTTATTGATAATTCCGTACCGGGGAAAATCTTTTTGTAGGTTTTTTTTTCCTCTGAGAGAGGAAAGGCGGAGAACAATAAACAGAGAAGAGAAGCTCCTGATGTGACACGTGTCTGTAGATAGAAGGCAACAGTGGTTGTTGGGTGACACGTAAGAGGAAAAGAATATTTTAGTTTTTGTTTTTTTTCTCTTTTTTGATATTGATAATTGGCAATAAGGGGAAAGTTTAGGGGCTTTAATCACGGATTATCGCTTAATCAAAAGGAATCGAAATCCAGCCTCTCGCTCTCCATTATTTGATTGGTTGTAATTAGCGGGAAATTTGCATTTTTTAAGATTTAAGGAAGAGTTCCCGAGGATGCCACGTGTGGGACTTGCATGAAGACATGAGACTTCGACACGTGTCCCTTCTGAGGAACATTGACTAGCTGGCTTTGACAAGGACACGTGAGTCTTGGATACGGTTTTCCCTCAGTCAGCTCCGCGAATCTCGAGCTCTTAAATCTAACTTCATGCCTGTTGGACACGTGTAAAAATTCTAGTGGGTCCCGCTTTTTACCAATAGATGAGACACGTGGAAACGATTCGGCGGTCCAGCTCAGCAAATGTGCCGTTGCCGCTTTTTTATCTCTTGGCGATGTGATGGGTGACGTATCTTCAAGAAGCAGAGCATGTGTGGGCAAGTTGACACGTGGCACGAAATTAAGAGCTATGGCTTTTGGAGAACCAGGACACGACACGTGTAATTTTGGGGGGAATACTAAGCTCCCGCCCTTCCCTGGTGCATGAGCTACACCTGGAAAGGACGATACACGGAAAGTATACATTTATATAAAATAATTCTTAGTATGGTTTTTTATGTGAATTCTTATTTTCATTAGTTCGTTAAATAAAGTTAAAACAAAGTTTTTTTTTTAAAAAAAAAAGCGGTACCTTTCATATATAATTTTAGGTGTATTTCTGGCCCTTGTAAGATCTGAAAGGTGATTTTTTTTAAACGAAAAATAATATAAACAAGCGATTATTAACATCATGAGAGAACTCCCCTCAACAAAGGAAATGAATCTAAAAACGATGGCATTTGCTTACCTTCGAACAGGTGGCTTTCGCTAATTATGTATACTAATTACAATTTTGACATAAAATTGAGATATACGAATTCATACAACCACAAAAAAACCATATAAAATGCATATGACAAGGTTCGGTTTCCTTATATATTTGAAACCAATCACTTTACTTTATGCATTTAAATAGTCCTAGATATTACTCATCAATCATCATCATCATCATCATCATTATTATAATGTATTAAAACTATTCTAATAAAGCATTGATTGGTTTTCAGAGTAATTTTACTATATAGCCACGGATCCAATTATTTTGAATAACTGCTCAAATAAATATATTGATTTCCAACGCGCATAATTTACGCATATAATATTTACAGATAAATCTTTATTCGATAATTATTATCGTCATATAATTTGCCTCTATTTAACCTTGATCTGATTAAAATTTTGTCTAGAATCAGATATATTTATAATTTATCCAAATATACATACAACAATATCTTTAAATGCGAAGATATCCCGAGCACCTTATTAGAATGGTTTGGTTTGATGGTTTGGTTTACTTTGGTTTAGTTCGGTTAGGGTTTATTAGGGTTTCTTCTTCTATTGTATTTAAGGAACACTTTTCTTATTTTGTAAAGAAAACAGAGAACTTTCTCTAAATCCTTCTTCTCCCTCTTCCTATTACTACTTTCTTTTTAATCTCTATCTCTACAACTCTATCTTATTTCAATGGCTTTTGATGTTTTTATCAAAAGTTGATACACCTTTAAGATATTCAGATAGTCGAAGGATCTAAAGCTACGTGAGGAGTGTTTGTTTTCTCATTTCATTGTTTATCTCAAATTACTGAGAAATAATATGGTAAAAATGTCAATTATGATATAATAATACAAATGATTGAGCCGTACGGTAGAATCTCAAATCTTGAAAAATGTGGGCTTAAAATGGACCGTTAATTGCTACATGAAAATTGGGCCTTTTGGGCTGAGTATGGGCCCACTATTTTCCCCCTTTTAGACTAATGACAAACTAAAAAATCACGAATTTCACGGAATATTAACTGAAAAATTATAAAGGCGTGATTTTTTTGTTTGTTTGTTTATATTTGCCTTTGGTTGTGTATGTATTTACCATTCTCGCCGGTCGTCTCCGGGGAAACGGGAAAAAACATGGCGGCCATTTCTGGATTTCTTCTCACTAGTAAGCTTCTTCGAGATGGAGTCTCGAAAACCCTTTTTAAAAATTCCTTGCTTTTTGCAAATTTCGCTTCGATTTCGGGTTTTTGTTTTGGCTGTATGAGCAGCAAACAGCTTATGGACCCAGAAGAGGTCGTTGTGGTTCATCATCAGGACAAAGTACGAGGAGTTTCCCTCGAGGAATCTAAGCTCATCAACCTCCACATGTCTCAATTGTATGTTGCTTGTGTTTCTTCTGCCATGTTTCTGGGTTTTGCACATTTTGGGTCTCTGGATTACTGCTTTTTTTTGGGCGCAGTATTTGGATTCAGTTCTTGTTCACGCGGGTATGATTAAGAAAATCCATCGAATTTCCATGTTTTGGCCCCGTTATGATGTTAAACAATGAAAATTTCTCATTTATTTGCTTCTACTTGTATGAATTCGGTTGAACTGTACTGAAGTTACACCTTACCCTAGAACTCTAGTGATGTCCCTAGTTCATACTTGTTGGTTAATGGAGTTTTCGAGCTTTTAATTAGTAGCATCTTGCATCTTAGGTTCGAAACTTTAAGATTTTAATGAAAAGTTTGCTGTATGGCGATTCGCCGATTATGAGTTTCTGCCTCATCGCTGTTTCAGATATTAGGAAACTGGCTCAGCACATTAAAGTGAGCCAAAGGTTGGTTTCTGTATCGAAATCCAACTGCCAGAAGAGAGAATGTTTCGGCGTTCGGTTGTTGTAATTGCTAAAAAGAGTTGTTCTTTCTGCCTTAGAGGTCAGTTTTTCATTATTTCCTGCTGGTGCATATGGGACAGGAGTGACAAATGAGTCACCATGTAAAAACTTCTAGCAACCTGTTCGTTGTTTGAGAGGTCTAATTGCTGTCATTATATCCAGTGGTAGATCATTATTCGTTGGTTAAAGACTCGCGCTTTCATCTTGGGTTTAAACTTTGAAGTGTCGTAAAGTTGAACCCGGCATTATCTTTTTACCATTTACAGAACTAATTCGATTCTTGTTGTTAGCAGGTTCGTGCACAATGCCGGCATAATTATGATCCAGGTGGCCCGGTAAGAACGCACACTCTTCAAAATTTGGACAGGTTTTAGCATCTGATGGATTCAGCTTTAGCGTTTTGAAATCTCGGGGGAATCCTTAACGACACATACAGGATGGACCTGATTCTCGTACACCCTCCCTATCGCATCGCACTACCCTGCATGTTCATAGCAAGTGTCTACTACAGAGACATCATGGTTTGAAGATCTTCACTAGGACATGAACTTGGTCATTACTACGGTACTACCTATCCAACCCAAGTCAAAATTTGCAATTCTTCTTCACTGAAACATGCAAAAGTTATCGCCATGGAAACAAACTCTGCAGTTTCAGCTAAAAGTTGAGATCTTTCTTGAAACTGGGAATTGTAGCTTATGATGTTCTTCAGTACTTCGGTGTTGGGAAGCTTTCTGATGATTGTTGACAACATGGGCAGGTGAAGAACATCGCCATGGAGGTTATTGATTTCTATGAGAACCCCAGGGTGGATCAATGATGAAAGAGTGAATGCTGCTTTCAGCAAATTGCCTCAGAAACCTTGGAGCATAGAAGTTACCCTATCTCTGTACATCATTTCTGCCCCTTATCAAATTTCCTTTGTAGCTCAAATGCTCTCTCAAGTGCCCATTTTATCTCTTTTCTTTTTTCTTTTTCTTTTTCTGTAAAAGACAATATATGGCATTATGTTTGGGGTGTGGGTTTTCATCAATAAAGTTTAGGGCTATTTCTTTCTATTTAGTAACAATGCATGTGGGGTTCTTTTGAAGTGTTTAGAAATAGAGGGTGTTTTATTGTAGAAATTTGAAAGATTTGGGGTTGTTTTATGATTTTGCCCAAATTATTTTGTTCTGAACTTCTGATAATCTGTCAGGAGCGAATAAAAAGGAAAGGCCATTTGCGTTGTGAAGTTTCAAGGAAAGCAAAAGCAATGGCTTCCAATTTCTGGACTTCGTCGCACCAGTAAGTTTGTTTCATTCCGTAATTACAAATCTCCATGAAAAAGGAGACGATCCTTTGATTTTTTTTAATCTAGGGAAGTTTTTTTTCTGGGTTTCAATGAACAGCAAACTTCTTATGGACCCAGAAGAGGTCGATGTTGTTCATCCTCTGGATAGAGAGAGAGGAATCACCGTCGAAGATTTCAAGCTGATTAAGCTTCACATGTCCAATTGTGCGTATGATCATCTTCTCGATCTGTTCTCGCCTGACTTTGGCTTCAATTTTTCCTGGGTTCTGTTTATTTCCAGATTTTTCCCCATGAATCAGTCTCGTCGGAGTTTTGAATCTCCTTCTACATTGAGTTTTTTTACCGGGTCCGTTTTCTCGATTTCTGCGTTATATTTGAGCTTCCACATAAAGCCTGTGAATTTCACAGTGTAGATCATTTGGGTGTTTGAATTTTACATGGAACAGGAAGGAATACGCTATGATTCAGTTTCTCATAATAGTTCCGATCATAGTAGTTTCAATTGATTGCATTTGATCTGACGTTTTCGTTCACTCCAGATATCTCGAAATTGGCGCAACACATTAAGATTAGGCAAAGGTTAGTTCTTTACCTCAGAACCCGTTGAAATGGAAGTCTTTCTCAATGGTATGCCTTTGTCAATCTAAAGAGTTACTGAAGCCAATGCATTTTGCTAAATTTGGTTTCTGTTTTGTTTGGTTCACCAGTGCCGGACTTTGACTGTTGATTTTTTTCCATTGATTCACTTTGTCATTGTGAATGTGGTTCAGAGTTGTAGCTACTGCAATAACTTATATGAGGCGGGTTTACACAAGGTACGCTCTTGTAGTTTTTTTCTTTTCTTCTGATGATGCAATATAGATTGGTGTTGTTTTTTCGTGGTAGAAACTGGTCCTAAGCACGGATCTTTGTCTCTGGATTTCGGTTTCTCAGGAAGAGCCTGACAGAATATGAACCTCGTCTTATCGCTCCCACTTGCTTGTACTTGGCGTCTAAAGCCGAGGAGAGCGTTGTCCATGCCAAACTTCTTGGATTCTATATAAGAAAATTATGTAACCTTCGCTCTTACTACTTTCTTGATCGTGTTTTCCTTAACAATTTTCTCTACCTCTTGCTATTTGAGCGGAGGAATGTTGACGACTTGCTGCTAATTCACTCTACAGATGCCGATGATAAGTACAGGTATGAGATTAAATATATACTTGAAATGGAGATGAAGATGCTGGAGGCATTGAACTTCTATTTAGTCGTATTCCACCCTTACCGATCCCTGCCTGAGTAAGTCTTTTCTATGTTACATTCTCTGCCAAGTATCATCACTGGTGGCGTCTTCCTAATTGCCATTATGTGCATGATGTCACGGGCCTAGAACTAAGCTAGGATGGTCCGTGCGGCAGTCGAGCCAAAGGGGACGAAAGGGGAAGCCTCGGACGTACTATGGACGGGAGAGGGTTCCGAGGGCTCGACTAAGCCTTCTCTGAACCGAAGTGGTCCGAGAGATTGCGGATGGTTGGGTTTGAAAGATAGGAAAGGTCCGAGAGATTGAGGACAAGAAAGGCCGACGGTACGGCCGTGGTATTTTATTAATAAGTCGGAAAAGGAACAAGGGGAGCGTGGCCTTGGTACAAGAAGGGACAACCACCGTGGTTTGTAAGCCGGCGGCGAGTTGGCCCGAGAAAGGAACAAGGCGGCGCTGTAAAAGAGGTGTTCGGGACTTAGGTTTCGATTTGGGGATTGAGAGATACCCTCCTTTTCGGCCAGCCAGCTGGTTTTATTAAGGTTTGGCTTAATAACCGAAAAGGAAAGTTAACATTTCCCTTCCCATATCTTTCCTATAATCCGTACTTGCCTTATGCGAAAATAGAAAAGACTAGAACCTTCCTAATATTACAATGGACACTTAGACCTACCTAAATGGGCCTTGGACCAAGACAAGACCACAAGGAAGGCCCGCGGACACGTCCAAGAACTGGTCATGGACCATGGCCGCGACCCTTGGTAGTTCTTGGCCTTTGGCAGTCTTCGGTCTTGGTCTGGGCATGGACGCGAGTTGGGCCGACGTGGAGATGAGCAGGGAAGGTCCAGGAGTCGGAGTCAGGTGGTCCGAGGGGCGTCCAGGGTCGGTGGCCTGAGATGTCCCG